TTGCCAAAGGTTTCAAACAAATTCATGGCATTGACTATGAAGAAACCTTTTCGCCGGTTGCCATGATTAAATCCATCCGGATATGCTTGCAATTGCTTCATATCATGACTATGAGATTTGGCAAATGGATGTCAAAACTGCTTTCTGAACGGAAACCTTGAGGAGGATGTGTATATGACACAACCTGATGGTTCGTTCTTGATAGTAAGCTAATAAGGTATGCAAGTTGCAGGATCCATTTATGGACTCAAGCAAGCTTCAAGGAGCTGGAACATTCGTTTTGATGAGGCCGTAAAAGAATTCGGTTTTATCAAAAACGAAGTGAGCCCTGTGTTTACAAGAAAGTGAGTGGGAGCGCAGTAGCCTTCCTATGTGTATGTCGATGACATACTTCTGATGGGAATGATATACCGAACTTGCAGTCGGTAAAGAATGGTTATCCAAGTGCTTCTCCATGAAAGACTTAGGGGAAGCAGCCTACATCCTTGGTATAAAGATATCGTGATAGATCGCGGTAGGTTGCTTGGCCTAAGTCAGAGTGCATATATTGAAAAGTACTGAAACGATTCAGTATGGAAGAATCCAAGAAAGGATTTCTTCCGATGTCACATGGTGTTTATTCTTCTAAGGAATTGTGTCCTAAAACACAAGATGAGAGAGTAGGATGAAGAGGATCCATATGCATCAGCAATTGGATCCATCATGTATGCCATGCTGTGTACTCGGATTGAGTTCTCATGTGCTTTGAGCACGTGTAGAGTATCAATGGATCCAGGTGAGCGTCACTGGATGGCTGTCAAGAATATTCTTAAGTACTTGAAGAGGACTAAGGATAGTTCTTGGTTTGGAGGGGAAGATGAGCTCACTGTAAGAGGATACAGTGATGTAGTTTCCAAACGGACAAAGACGATTATCGATCGCAATCAGGGTTTGTATTTTGTCTCAATGGCGGTGCAGTGAGCTGGAAGAGCTCCAAGCAATGCACTGTAGCGGACTTACAATGGAGGCTGAGTATATTGCATTGTCAGATGCGGCCAAGGAGGCAGTCTGGATTTAGAAGTTCGTCATTGAACTTGGTGTGGTTTCTACAATTGTTGATCCTATAGACATCTATTGTGACAACAATAGAGCAATTGTCAAGTAGGGAACCACGTCTCAGAAGTCCAGACACATAATCAGACGATTCCATCACAGAGAGATAGTTGAGAGGAAAGACGTGCAGATAGTAAAGTGCATACTGACACAATCTCGCAGATCCACTTACAAAGCCTCTGTCCAGCAGCAGAAGCATGAAAGGCACTTGAATCATTTGGTATTAAATACATGAATGATTGGCTATAGTGCAAGTGGGAGATTGTTAGAGTAGAGATGCCCTAGAGCCAATCAATTATTGTGGAATTGACTCTTTGTAATAATGTTCATTAATCAATAATAAAAGGCATTTTATTCATATCGCGTAAATCATTTATATTATTGCAATATGTATGATATATGTCCTTAGAATGTAGAACCGTGACGAGGGTATCAGTGTTTCAAATCTTGATAGTGAGAACCCTATGAGCACATATGGTGGCCATTCTAGAAACGTCCGTAGCCCTAGTATTATTCTGAAATAAGGGCACAGATAATACGGTAAGGCTATCATAGGTGTTGAACGACCCTGTCGAAAGGCGTGACTGATCTCACTTGTCAAGGTTGTTTGGTGACAACCTAGTGCAACACATGGGTGCTTGTTGTAGGCGGATATACCGCAGCAAGTTCATGGACGACCACCAGAGGATTCCATATGGATGGTAACCCCAGTGTCTATGGAAAATCCTCTAACGAATGGTGGTGCATGTATCCTTAGATTGAGGTCACCGGAGTGCCTTGTGCACCGACTGGTACAGTTTGACACTAGCCTAACGCAGTTCTATTCAGAGCTGTCAGTACGGTGGTGATTGGCTATATCAAGAAGTGTATCAAGACTATGGTGGATTGACAAAGGATTCATCACTCCCGGGTACGGGAGAAGTTATCTCACGACGCAATTCAGTATATGCAATGACACTAAAACTGTGGCAAGTGGGATTGAGTTGTTGCTCTATCCAGATTATAATACGGGTTCGGTCCAGAAACTGAAATATAATCGAGAGTAACCGAAGGTTGACACTATTTCTATGCCTTCGTCTCGTCGAGATAACGTATGATGAAAGGATCGTATTGTAGTAACCATATCGTTGAAAGGTAGCTACTTTGCTGAATCCGAATCTATCGGGTGGCCATGATGCCTTGCTAGGGCCAATCTTGGTGTGTTTAGTGAGACGATTAATTGGTGTTAATCGCGATACTATCACTACCGGTATGATGAGGAGCCTATGGGTCACACACATAGAAGATAATTAAGAGCCAAGAAGAAAGAAGGGCGTTTTCGTCTTTTTAGGCAAAAGGGTTTTTGGTATTTCACAGTTGCAATTAAATTTGCTGGGTCGTAGCCTATTATTTAATTTGTTAAAAAATTAAATAAGTGAAATTACGGTTAAAGTGTGTTCGCACATATTTATTAAATCATCATTATGTTAAATGTTAATTAAATATTAATTGATTTAATTAAGATAATGAGAATTAAATTAAATATCAAATGGGAGTGTTTGGCAACATGGGGTGTTTGGGTTGGAGCCCAAGCCCATTCCATGTGGGAATAGGGCAACTTGGTTTGCCTATAAAAAGAATAGTGTGATTCATTCTTAAATTTTTTTAAAGAAAACACAGCAGCCCCTTATACACTCTCTCACGCCAATCTCACTGTTTGATTGAAAAATCAAATACTGATCTTTCTTCTTGATTTCTTAAGGCCAAGGAGGATCTAGCAAATCCCTCCTTGGTTCTTGGTGGTTGTCTTCGTGTGGACTTCTTGGTTCGATCCTACACTTGGATCGTAGCAAACACATTCAGAGACAACATTGGTGGAGCCTCCAAACGTGGGTATAAATCTAAAACCTTTGGATTTATTTTTCTGCAGATTCAATAGCATAAACTGTAAAATCTATGCCCTGATTTGGGTTCTAAGGACGATCCGTAGTTGTAAAATTTTTGTTTTCCGCTGCGCAACCGGGTCGTTTCCTAACAGTTACGATTGCATTGTGCGTAGTTGCCGCATTGGAAATAGACTTCGAAAGACATGGATGACGATTACGACATACATTCGCATTAACTGGTCACAATTAAATGTTAGAAGTACTTAATGGCCATCCTGACAAAATATTTGTGAAGTGCCGCATGGACAAACAATGTTTTAAATACTTATGTTACATTTTAGCACAACAAGGGAGCTTGTGAGACTCCAATAGGATCAGTATTGAAGAACAGGTTATGATATTTTTGACAACCGTTGGAAAAAACGAGACATACAGTACTATTATGGATGATTTCCAACATTCAGATGAGATAATCTCTAGATATGTGGGCAAAGTTTGCAACACAATATGTGGATTGCAGACAGAGTTTATCAAGGCACCGAACTTCAGCGAAGTTCCAGAGGAAATATCGACAAACCCATAATATTACTCGTTCTTTAAGGTACTTTTATTATATTCTTATTTGTACGTACTTCAATTCATTGTGTTATTTATGTTGACAGTTAGTTGATATTATTGAATGTCATCTTTTGTCCACAAGACTGTATAGGGGCGATTGATGGCACATATGTCGATGCTTGGGTTCCAATAGAGTTGGCCGATGTCTTCCGGAATCGTAAAAGAACGTTGTCGTAGAATGTCATGGCTGTATGTGACTTTAGGATGATTTTCACTTATGTCGTCATAGGTTGGGAATGATCCACCCACGACTCAAAGGTTTTAAATTCGGTTCTTGATGATCCTAATTCTAGATTCCCCCATCCCCCACCAGGTACAGCTAGCTTCTTTATGTATTATAACATATTTGCTCCCTTTATTTGGATTAAAATATCAAATAACATATGTCAGTTGATTACATGTAAATACTATTTGGTTGATGTCGGTTATGCATATAGAGGGGGGTTGCTTGCCCCTCATAGACGAGTTCCTTACCATCTACATGATCGTTGTCGTAACCGAAATGATCCACAAGCGTTGTTTAACTACAGACATGCATCACGCTGCAATGTTGTTGAGAGAACCTTTGGTGTTCTAAAGAAAAGATTCTGGATTCTTAATGGAATAATTACCCGTTGGAGAGACAAGCTCGGATTGTTATGGCATGTTTTGTACTTCATAATTTTATCAGAAGTACAATATGTAGGATGAAATCTTTGAACAGTCTATTGTGGAAGTATATTTGCATGACCAAAACATGGTAGCTAATGAAGGAAATGGAGGGATTGAGTCAACTGCAACAACGTATTATTAACGACATAACGCATGTGCGGGATAACATAACGACTGAAATGCGGGAACAACATATGACCAATGTCGTAGTTGTTAATGGAGTATAACTGTATAAACTATTCTAAGGGTTGACAATCAGTAGTTTCGTCAGAGATGTATTAATGTGGTGTTTTTAAATGATGTATTAGTACTTGAAATTAATAATTCTAAATTTGTCTTTAAGTGAGTGATTACGAAATTACTAATTAAATATTTAATAATATTAAAACGTGAATTGATAAGTTTTTACGATATAATAATAAAAATTAATTTAACAAAAAGCAATAAAGAATTCTATCAATAAATCCTTTATAAAAAAATATACCAAACAATTTTTCTATAATTTATTCAACTTTATATATATCATGACCAAACATTAAATCATATTATCGTAATAATAACTCAATTAAATACTCTCTTAAACTTATTTTTTTAAATAATATTATTAAAATAATAACTCAATTCAACTTTACAATAATATTTCAAAAATATTAGTCAAAATAACTAAACAAAGACTACATGCTTCTTAGTTCCGGTAATAATTGTACAGTAAAAACAATTCCAACAGTTATCTATCTCCGACTTTGCTTTTGGAACGAAAAGTTTGGAGGGAGACCAAAGTGCGAGAGCGGGCAAATTCCACATCAGACAAATCTAGAAAGATGCGAAACATTGGCGTTTGGAGTCCACGCGCCCTCCGCCTCCCCTTCCCTACATTAAATAGGGATATTAAACGGTCTTTTGCCATTGCTGTCACTTCAAATCTCTTGCTTCCCTGTCTCCCTTTCACTTTTCACGCTCTTTGCTCGAACCCTAGGTAAATCGATCCAAGTTTCTGAAGCGAAAATGGTGGTTCAATCTTTGGAAAGCGGACAAGCTGAGCGGAGAATGAGCGCGAGGATTCAGGAGAAACAGAGGGTGGAGAAGTTGCGTTTGGTGAAACGGAGAGTGGAGCTTCTTGGTGATACAGAAGGGGGAAGTGACGGTAAGAAGAAGCAAAACAATATTTCCAGCAGAAAAAGGAGGAAAGAAGAAGATTCCGAAAATGCGGAGGAGGGAGACAAGGTTCCAGTTCAAACAACGAAGTGTGAAAATGAGTCTATGAACGGTAATGCTGTAAATCTGGCTGATAAAGGTGATCATACTATAAACTTGGCTGAAAAAAGTGACCATGCTAAAGTGAAAGAGACTTTGAGGTTGTTTAACAAACATTATCTTCATTTTGTTCAGGTTGGTTTTACCATATCAAACACTATATATAATTTTGTTTGGTTTGTCTTAGTTTTAACATGTATTACTTATGGCTTTAGTTGGAAGAAGCAAGATGCAGAAAAGAAGAAGTAGATAAGAAAGCTTCCAAAAAGTCAAAATCCAAGGTTAGTATGAACCTTAACTGTTTGTATTTGATATTGGTTTGAGTTTTTTTTTTTTAATTATTAATTTTGTTAGTAGACTGAAAAATTATTTATCTCAGCAGTCATGGTGTATGCTTTTTNTGGTCCTACAGCAACAAATGGCCCGCCAATCTGAACCTGAGCAAGCCAACCTACGCGCTGAGGGAGTTCCCCTGACCTAAGGGGATACCTCTTTTAGAATACTTCCAGCCCCACAAATTGCTGCGATGGATATCCCAGCAGCTTCGCAGCTTGACCCCACCATCAGAAGCTACTTGGAGAGGTTCGACAATACTCTCTAGATTGTCAACCAAAGGCTGGACCGTCTGGACCAAGGCGGCCATCTAGAACAGTTGAGGCGGTGCAACAGCCAAAAAGGCCTGCAGGTCGCGCGAAAGTGCGACAAAGGGAAATAGCCCATGCCGCGAGCACTGCAGCTCGTAGACGTAAGGGCAAGCAAGTGGCAAAAAGCAAGCCTACGGGCTCCAAAGGGCCAGTGAACACAAACCGTGCCCCAATCAGGGTGCCGGCAAAGCTGAGACTCGGCGAAAAGGTAAATCCTGAGCTGTCCCATGCCACGTCACAGGTGAACCCAAGCAAAAGTGTTGGGCGGGGTGATTCTTATCACCGCCAGCAGAATGATCCTGATCGCTATCATGCGGGTGGTCCCCACACCTCGCGGGGCAGTTCGTACCACCTCGAGGGTCGTGAAAACACCCCGCACCATCCATCGCCATCACACGCCTCTAGCCAATGTGTCTCAAGAGCGGCCAGAAGTGTCGGCCGAGGTGAAGGGGAGTCCGACCTCCTGACTCTCCTAAACTATAATCGCGAGGGTGAAAGCAATCCCCAACTGGCTCCGTTACCACAAATTGAGGAGCTGCAGCGAGCTCTCAACAGGCTAAGAGAGCAGTAAAACGAGCAGGCCCAGGTCGCCACTGCATCCCCCTTCTCTCTTGAAGTGTTAGCTGTTCCACTCTCGCCAGGGTTCAGAATGCCCAACATGCAACCGTTTGATGGGAACCATGACCCGCAAGATCATTTGTATGAGTTCAACGACCTGATGGAGCTCCACTAGGTTTCGGATCTTGCAAAATGCCGTTGTTTGGCCGTGACTCTAACTTCTCATGCCAAACGATGGTTAAGGTCACTCCCGTCAGGATCGATCAGTTCGTGGCCTCAGATGAGCACGATGTTCCTACAGCATTTCCAAGCAAATCGAAAGTTTTCGATGCCTCTGAGCTATCTCAGCAACATAAGGCAAGAAAGGGATGAATCCCTACAATCTTATATTGACCGTTTCCACAAGGAACTCAACAAGGTAGCTTATGCCCCCGAAGAGTCCATCCGAACACTCATAATAGTTGGAGTTCACCCGCAAACCGACCTATGGAAAGAATTACAGGCTGAGGACGATGTTTCCCTCACCAGATTCTATAACCTCGCGGAAAAGTATCTCCGTATAGAAAATTCATTAGCGGCACTACGTCGTCGCGATCACGGCGCTTCAGACAGTATGTCTGGTCGGGGAGAAAGTAGGAGAGCTAATCGTAGAGGAGACATTGACGATCAGCGAAAAGGGAAGAAACCCCGTCCTATGCTCCCGTTCCTCGTCGCGACTACGACAAGCCCCAATATACTCCACTGAACACCTCTGTATCTGCCATTCTTGATAAATCCAAAGAATCCAGTCTGTTCGGAGAACCCGAACCCATGAAAACCCCTGCGACAGCCAGAAATAATAAAAAGTACTGTCGCTATCATCGAGACAATGGGCACCATACTGACGAGTGCCGAGCCCTGAAGCAAGCAATCGAAGAACTTATCAAAAAGAGGCACTTCAAGGAATACATCGATGACTCTGCTCCCTCGAAAGAGAAAGATCGGGGGGAGCCAAGTAAGAAGCATCGGGATCAGAAAGGGGTGCTCAGTCTTAACTTGATTTTCGGAGGACTGCACTTCGCTGGAAATTCGCGAGGTGCCCATGAAAGGTATGCTTGTGAAGCACATCACGACCCCATTAGAGTGATGAGTGCGGATATGCGACCACAAAAGGTTCGCAGGGAGGTGGAAATCTCCTTCTCCGAGCAGGATACGGCCAGGTTGCACTATCCCCACGACGACGCCCTAGTAATCACTCCCCTGATAGGGCGCTATAACACCCAGAGAATGTTAGTGGATAACGAAAGTGCTATGAACATCTTGTTTGCATCCACTTTCGAAAGGATGAACCTGGACGAGGCCGACCTGAAGCTTGCCTCGTTCCCGCTATACGGATTCACAAGAGATCATCTACTCCCCAAGGGAACAATCTCACTCCCAGTCACGCTGGGCGATCTTGACGAAGTGACCAAGGTAACTGAATTCTTAGTGGTAGACTGCCCGTCAGCCTTTAATGGGATCCTTGGGTGACCTCTACTAAGACAGTTCAAGGCGGCCACTTCAATTTACCATCTGAAGATGAAGTTCCCTACCCCGACGGGGATCGAGGAAGTCAGCGGGTCTCAACGCGCATCGCGTGACTGCTATGTAAAAGCAATCCAGATGGTGCACAAAGGAAAGGGCGTTCCACGAAGTGCACCCCGCCATGCCATGGCGATCAGTAGGATCGATCCACGACCTGGCCCGGTCGAGGACAACCTAGACCACCGCATTCAAGACTGCCTCTCCAGTGGGCCAGTTGAGGACCTGACTGAAGTGTTGGTGAACCTGAAAGAGCCGAGCAGGGTGTTAAGAGTTGGTAAAAACCTCAATCCCCAGCTCGCTAGCGAACTGATAGGTTTCCCCAGGGAAAACGTCGATGTGTTTGCCTGGTCGCATGCAGATATGGTCGGGATCAGCCCGGACGTTATTTGCCATGCGTTAAACGTTGACAGCGAGGCCAAGCCAGTTAGCTAAAAAAGAAGAGCAATGGATCCGGAGCGGTATGCTGCATTAAAATGAGAAGTGGAAAACCTCCTCCAAAACGGGTCCATCCGAGAAGCACTCTACCCAACGTGGGTTGTCAACCCGGTCCTGGTAAAGAAGTCAAATGGAAAGTGGTGGACCTGCGTTGATTTTAGCAACCTCAATAAGGTCTGCCCAAAAGACAGCTTCCCTCTGCCAAGAATCAACCAGCTCGTGGATGCCACCTCGGGGCACAAACTACTAAGTTTCATGGATGCATACTCGGGATACAATCAGATCCCTATGTATGGCCCAGACGAGGAGCATACGTCCTTCATTACAGACCAGGGGCTATATTGTTACAAAGTTATGCCTTTCGGCCTCAAGAATGCTGGCGCAACATACCAGCGACTGGTTAACCGAATGTTCTCTGACCATATCAGAAGAACAATGGAGGTCTATGTAGACGACATGCTGGTCGAATCCTAGGTCACCTCAGAACACATTGCACATCTCGCTGAGATGTTTGACATCCTCCGGCTATACAAAATGAAGCTGAATCCTCTCAAGTGTTCATTCGGAGTATCGTTAGGAAAGTTCCTGAGGTACATGGTTAATCAGCGAGGGATAGAAGTAAACCCCAAGGAGATTCAAGCTCTGCTCGATATGGAGAGCCCGACCAGCAAAAAATAGGTCATGAGCCTAAATAGGCGAATAGCGGCACTTAGTTGCTTCATATCAAGGCTAAGATCGTTGCTTGCCATTTTTCAATGTTCTGAAGGCCAATAAGAAATTTGAATGGACTCCCGAATGCGAACAGGCGTTCTAGAGTATAAAAGAACACCTTGGGAAGCCACCTCTCCTCTCTAAGCCTCTTCCGCAAGAGATTTTGCCCCTGTACCTATCCATCTCGCAGTCCGCGGTCAGTGCAGCCCTAGTTCGAGAAGAGGAAAAAGTTCAATGGCCTATCTACTACGCAAACAAGCGTCTGTTGGAGGCCGAGATGCGGTATCTTGAAATGGAACGATTAGCCTATGCTCTACTGATCGCTTCCAGAAAGCTGCGACCTTACTTCCACGCCCATACGATCCATGTAATGACTAATTACCCCCTTAGGCAGGTCCTCCAGAAGTCAGAAGCCTCGGGTAAACTACTCAAATGGGCCATAGAATTAAGCCAGTTCAACCTGAAGTACAAGCCCAGGTCGACCATCAAAGGGCAAGTTGTCGCTGACTTCATTTTAGAATTCTCTTATCTCTCGAATGAGTCAGAGCAATAGCCCAGTGAAGTCATCCAATAGACCATTCAGAACCTATCAACCTGAAACCTCTATGTCGATGGATCATCGATCAGAAAAAGGGTAGGAGCAGGTCTCCTCCTCTTGAGTCCTGAAGGGGCTCGTATTCACAACATCCTGCGGTTCGGATTCAAGACGACTAATAACGAAGTTGAGTACGAAGCTCTGCTCCCTGGATTACGGTTGGCCAGAGAAATGGGCGCAACCACGATCAGCGTCCACAACGACTTTATGCTGGTCGTCAACCAAATCCTAGGAGAATACCAAGCCAAGGAAGAAAACATGATCCGTTATCTAAAAGAAGCTAAGGCCGCGCTCGAGCCGTTCAAGTATTTCACGATCACCCAGATCCCCAGAGATAGCAACTCTGTGGTGGACGCCTTGGCAAAGATAGCCTCATCATTGGACTCAGAGGCACCTGATAGCATTCCTGTTCGGTTCATCGAGACCCCGAGCATCAGTTCAACCGAACAGGCCGTGAGTGTAACGCAATCAAACTCCTGGATGATGCCCATTTACAGGTATCTCAAGGATGGGATCTTGCCCGACGACAAGGTCGAGGCACGGGTCCTGAGAACAAGATCTGCTTGCTACACACTCATCGGGGACTAGCTGTACATGAGGGGATTCAGTGCCCCTCTCCTTCGATGTGTAACCAGTGAAGAGGCAGATTATATCATGAGAGAAATCCATGAAGGGATATGCGGTAATCACACCGCCGCACGATCTCTCCCGAACAAGATTGTTCTCCAAGGGTATTATTGGCCCCGAATCCAAGAAGATACCCACAATTTTGTCAAGAGGTGTGATAAGTGTCAGCGGTTCGCGAACATTCTGCAAGCCCCTTCTCACGAGCTGGTAACGATGTCTAGCCCATGGCCATTTTCCATGTGGAGGATCGACCTTATCGGTCCCATGCAAGTCAGAAAATGGGGAGTTAAGTATGCCGTGGTCGCGGTAGACTATTTCACAAAATAGGTGGAAGCTGAACCGTTGGCC